CAGGAGCATGCGCCAGCGCGTCGGCAGCAGGGGCTGAACTGAGTGGGATGCCAAAATCTGACAGTCATGAAATGTGAAGTGTGACATTTCTAATAGAAAACAGAACAAGAAATTAAATTTACTGTCATATGTAGGGAAATATCTACTTTGTCAGTTGGCATCTTTAAACTGAATATATGGCAGATCCCGCCAGTAATACCTGTGTATGTCCCAGTCAGCTGGCAACTTTACACTGAATATCTAGCAGATCCCGCCAGTAAAGCGTGTGTATGTCCCAGTCAGCTGGCAACTTTACACTGAATATCTAGCAGATCCCGCCAGTAATACTCGTGTATGTCCCAGTCAGTTGGCAACTTTACACTGAATATCTAGCAGATCCCGCCAGTAATACGTCTGTATGTCCCAGTCAGTTAGTATCGTTTGTTGTCAGGAGAGACAGCGTATGTTGTGATGAGAAACGTGTATGAGGAGAGACCCTTTGTTGGAGGGAGGGACATCGTGTGTTGAAAGGAGTGGTTCCGTGTGCTTTAGCAGAGACATCGTGTGTTCTTAGAAGCGAAATATTGTGTTGGGGAAAAAACTTTCTGTGTTGTGAAGAGAGACAGCGTGTGTTATGAAGTGACACCGTGTGTTGTGAGGAGACGTGTTTTGAGGAGAGAATTTCTTTGGTGAGGAGAGACATTGTGTTTTGAGGAGATATATCGTATGTTATGAGGAGACATGTGTAGGAAAGAGTGACGTGTGTTATAGCAAAGACATGTGTTGTGAGGAGAGAAATCCTGTGTTGGGAAGAGAGACTTCCTATGTTGTAAGGACAGACATCGTGTGTTGTGAGAAGAAACATGTGTTGTAAAGAGACACATTGTGTGTTGTGAAGAGAGACATCATGTGTTGTAAGGAGAGAATTTCTGCGATATGAGGAGAGACATCATGTCTTGTGAGGAGAGAATGTCTGTTGATGATAGACTGTGTTGTGAGGAGAGACATCATGTCTTGTGAGGAGAGACCACATGTTGTGAGAAGACATCATGTGTTGGAAAGAGTGACTTCGTGTTTTAGCAAACATCATGTGTTGTCAGGTGAGAAAAAGCCTGTTGAGAAAAGAGTATTTCTGTGTTGTGAGAAGAGACATCGTGTGTTGTGAGGAGATAAAAAAAATTATGAGGAAAGACATTGTGTTGTGAGGAGAGACATCGTGTATTGTGAGAAGGGACATCATGTGTTGAGGAGAGACGCCATCTTGTGAGGAGAGACATCGGGTGTTGTGAGGCCAGACAGTGTTATGAAGAGAGACATCGTGTTGTGAGGAGAGACATTGTGTGTTGTAAGGAGAGACATTGTGTGTTGTGAGGAGAGACAGCGTGTATTGTGAGAAGAGACAGCAGTCGTTGTGACAAGAGACATCGTGTGTTGTGAGGAGAGACAACAATTGTTGTGGAGAGACATCGTGTGTTGTAAGAAGAGTGTGGGTTGAGGAGAGACAGCATGTGTTTTGAGGAGAGACATCGTGTGTTGTGAGGAGAGACATTGTGTTGAGGAGAGACATCGTGTGTTGTGAGAAGAGACATTGTGTGTTGAGGAGAGACATCGTGTGTTGTGAGGAGAGACAGCGTGTTGTGAGGAGAGACATCGTGTGTTGTAAGGAGAGCGTGTGTTGAGGAGAGACATCCTGTGTTGTGAGAAGAGAATTTCTGTGATGTGAAGAGTGTCATCATGTATTGTGAGGAGAGAAATTGTGTCGTGAAAAAAGACCATCTGTGTTGTGAAGAGAGACATCATGTCTTGTGAGGAGAGAATGTCTGTGTTGAGGATAGACTGTGTTGTGAGCAGAGACATTGTTTGTTGTGAGGAGACATCGTGTGTTGAGAAAAGGGCATGTTTTATCATACATCATGTATTGTCAGGAGAGAAATCCTTTTGTAGGACAAGAGACTTTCTGTGTTGTGAGAAGAGACATTGTGTGCTTTGAGGAGAGAATTTCTTTTGTGAGGAGAGAAATTGTGTTTTGAGGAGAGACATCCTGAGTTGTGAGAAGAGACATTGTGTGTTGTGAGGAGAGAGTGTATTTTATGAGGAGACATCATGTGTTGGAAAGAAAGGAGACATTGAAATAATCATTAATGTAAGACACTGTGTGTGAGTGAGTGAGTGAGTGAGTGAGTGAGAGAGAACTGGTTGGCTGGTATGTGCACTAGGGGGGACTGGTTGGCTGGTATGTGTACTAGGGGGATATTGGTTGTCAGGTATGTGTACTAGGGGGATATTGGTTGTCAGGTATGTGTACTTGGGGGGACTGGTTGTCTGGTATGTGTACTAGGGGATATTGGTTGTCTGGTATGTGTACTAGGGTGATATTGGTTGTCTGGTATGTGTACTAGGGGGGGAGGTATTGGTTGTCTGGTATGTGAACTAGGGGGGGTATTGGTTGTCTGGTATGTGCACTAGGGGGATATTCGTTGTCAGGTATGTGTACTAGGGGGATATTGGTTGTCTGGTATGTGAACTAGGGGGGTATTGGTTGTCTGGTATGTGCACTAGGGGGATATTGGTTGTCAGGTATGTGTACTAGGGGGATATTGGTTGTCTGGTATGTGAACTAGGGGGGTATTGGTTGGCTGGTATGTGAACTAGGGGGATATTGGTTGTCTGGTATGTGCACTAGGGGGATATTGGTTGTCAGGTATGTGTACTAGGGAGATATTGGTTGTCAGGTATGTGTACTTGGGGGGACTGGTTGTCTGGTATGTGTACTAGGGGGATATTGGTTGTCAGGTATGTGTACTAGGGGGGTATTGGTTGTCTGGTATGTGTACTAGGGTGATATTGGTTGTCTGGTATGTGCACTGGGGGTGCTTTGGTTGTCTGGTATGTGTACTAGGGGGGTATTGGTTGTCTGGTATGTGAACTAGGGGGGTATTGGTTGGCTGGTATGTGCACTAGGGGGATATTGGTTGTCAGGTATGTGTACTAGGGGGATATTGGTTGTCTGGTATGTGTACTAGGGGGATATTGGTTGTCTGGTATGTGTACTCTGGGGGACTAGTTGGCTGGTATGTGTACTCTGGGGGACTGGTTGTCTGGTATGTGTACTAGGGGGATATTGGTTGTCAGGTATGTGTACTAGGGGGATATTGGTTGTCTGGTATGTGTACTAGGGGGATATTGGTTGTCTGGTATGTGCACTAGGGGGGACTGGTTGGCTGGTATGTGCACTAGGGGGATATTGGTTGTCTAGTATGTGCACTAGGGGGATATTGGTTGTCTGGTATGTGCACTAGGGGGATATTGGTTGTCAGGTATGTGTACTAGGGGGATATTGGTTGGCTGGTATGTGTACTAGGGGGATATTGGTTGTCTAGTATGTGCACTAGGGGGGACTGGTTGGCTGGTATGTGCACTAGGGGGATATTGGTTGTCTGGTATGTGTACTAGGGGGATATTGGTTGTCAGGTATGTGTACTAGGGGGATATTGGTTGTCAGGTATGTGTACTAGGGGGATATTGGTTGGCTGGTATGTGTACTAGGGGGATATTGGTTGTCTAGTATGTGCACTAGGGGGGACTGGTTGGCTGGTATGTGCACTAGGGGGATATTGGTTGTCTGGTATGTGCACTGGGGGGGGGGGGGGGGGGGGGGCATTGGTTGTCTGGTATGTGCACTGGGGGGACTGGTTGGCTGGTATGTGTACTAGGGGGGACTGGTTGGCTGGTATGTGCACTGGGGGGGACTGGTTGGCTGGTATGTGCACTGGGGGGATATTGGTTGTCTGGTATGTGCACTGGGGGGGGGGGGGGGGGGGGCATTGGTTGTCTGGTATGTGCACTGGGGGGATATTGGTTGGCTGGTATGTGTACTAGGGGGATATCGGTTGTCTGGTATGTGTACTAGGGGGGACTTGTTGGCTGGTATGTGCACTAGGGGGATATTGGTTGGCTGGTATGTGTACTAGGGGGGCATTGGTTGTCTGGTATGTGCACTGGGGGGGGGGGGGGGGGGGGCATTGGTTGTCTGGTATGTGCACTGGGGGGATATTGGTTGGCTGGTATGTGTACTAGGGGGATATCGGTTGTCTGGTATGTGTACTAGGGGGGACTTGTTGGCTGGTATGTGCACTAGGGGGATATTGGTTGGCTGGTATGTGTACTAGGGGGGCATTGGTTGTCTGGTATGTGTACTAGGGGGGCATTGGTTGGCTGGTATGTGTACTAGGGGGGCATTGGTTGTCAGGTATGTGTACTAGGGGGGACTGGTTGGCTGGTATGTGTACTAGGGGGGCATTGGTTGGCTGGTATGTGCACTAGGGGGATATTGGTTGGCTGGTATGTGTACTAGGGGGATATTGGTTGTCTGGTATGTGTACTCTGGGGGACTAGTTGGCTGGTATGTGTACTCTGGGGGACTGGTTGTCTGGTATGTGTACTAGGGGGATATTGGTTGTCAGGTATGTGTACTAGGGGGGCATTGGTTGGCTGGTATGTGTACTAGGGGGGCATTGGTTGGCTGGTATGTGTACTAGGGGGGCATTGGTTGGCTGGTATGTGTACTAGGGGGGCATTGGTTGGCTGGTATGTGTACTAGGGGGGCATTGGTTGTCTGGTATGTGTACTAGGGGGGCATTGGTTGGCTGGTATGTGTACTAGGGGGATATTGGTTGTCAGGTATGTGTACTAGGGGGGCATTGGTTGTCTGGTATGTGTACTAGGGGGATATTGGTTGTCTGGTATGTGTACTAGGGGGGCATTGGTTGGCTGGTATGTGTACTAGGGGGGCATTGGTTGGCTGGTATGTGTACTAGGGGGGCATTGGTTCGCTGGTATGTGCACTAGGGGGGAGGGGGGTATGTGAAGTTACTTTACCTATCATAATCACACAGTTGACTATGGTCAACAACAGGATGGGTCAGGTAATCAATCAGCACTATTGTCACACAGATTATAGTGCCCTTCACATCGAGCTCAAAAGAAAATGCTGCCTTTCAACAAAACCACAAATACCTAGATTCAAAGAAAGTTGGAAGTTTATTGATAAAAATATATTATTCATCAGAATCAGTGACGGTAAGAAGTTTGAAAGGTAATATGTACATAATGTCCAGTGTCCAGTGCTAGAGAGAGTGAGCGATACCGCTGCTATAGTCCTGTACATCACCTCCAGTCTGCCACAGGTACAGGGGAGGAGCGGAATGCAACATAAGTTAAGCTGGCAGAGAACAGACTGGTATTTACATGCGCTATGTAGCTTATGACAGACACTAGACTTGCATACTTCTGTACAATAGCATACTTGCATGCCCCACATAGAAGACAGGGACACAGTGACATGCTGATGAATGATCCTGTTGGGTGAAATTATAATACAACATAAACTCACACATTGTAAATATATAACAATTATAACAAATTTTTAAACTTACAGAACATGAGATAGTACCCTATTAAACTTTACAATAAATATTTCAAAATCCTTAGAACCCAATTGGTCACTGTTTTAGTAAACTACCAATTTGAATCTTCATCTCATTTCTTGTTTTCTTCTTCCAAACATGTGTATTCACACAGAAAGGCATTCACAATGGTACAGTGAAATTTATAATGAAAAATAATAATAAATATATATGTTGATGGATGGCATGTATGTAAAAATCGAAAATAACCAGTCAACTTATATCAATTGATTTACATAATGCTTAAGGGCAATTAGACATGATTAGTATTGAGTATGTTGTGGGTGTTTTTAGTCTTCTGTGGTCTGATCCTCTTCCTGCTCTCCCCCCTCCTCGCCCCCTTCCTTTGTGTCCTCGTCCTGAGATGGGGGCTCCTGGTTGGGTTCCGGGGCAGGCTCTGAAGGGCGGTCAAAAGCATCACCCTGAAACATCAATACCTATATCTGCCAACATGTACTTCAACATTCAACTCCCAAACAATAAAAACAATAACACTTTATATGGATAATATTGTTTCCATTCCACTGTATAACTTATTATTCAGTCAACACTTTCCATTTGGGGAGTCTAACTTTAGGAAAAGCATAGGTATATTGACCTTGTATGTGATAACAGCATACAACGAGCTGCAGACCAAACCATACAATTGTCAGTGACTGGGATGAAGTTTCACAGGAGCAGACCATGAGATTGGCCATTCAGTGAGTTTTTTGAGATGATAGACAATGCTTCAGGTAAGATGACTTGAAGGAAGAACTGCAATGGCCTGTGACCAGCTGTCATGCCCACAAACCCGCCCACAAACCCGCCCACTGCACTGAGAGTAGGACTGGGAAGTAGTCAGATGATGGTAGACATTGATGTGCAATACAAGTCCTGGGAACAACACCAAAACAAAGACCCATGGACAGGTACATTGATACACCTCACCAGTCACCATTTGTTCTTTTACCAGCTCTTAACATAAATCAATACTTGATACGCATTTCATGGCTTCAATTGAAATTGTGAAAGGTGGATAAAACCTCTCCATCTCAGTAATGAGTTGCCAAACATTGTCTACATTGTTCCAACCAACCGATCACTTAATGAAATAATAATAATAATAATAATAATAATAATAATAATAATAATAATAATAGTAATAATAATTTTGAAACAGAGGTCCACCCATGGTATGACCCTGAATATGTAGAGTGCGTCAATGACAAATACAAAATCCTTTGGAATAGGCCCGTATACAGCCTCAGACATATCCAGGCCAACAAACCTGATCTTGTCCTTTTTTAAATCCAATGAAATCATTTATATCATTGAATTTTCTGTCTCTTTTGACAGTAATGTGATTGACAAGATTGAGGAAAAACATGGCAAATATGCGGACCTCGCTTTCAAAATGTCACACTTGCATCCCAAGTACCAACTTGTCCGACGCCCCATTGTTCTTGGTGCATTAGGTTTGGTACCTCCCAGTCTGTTGACTGACACTGGGAGAGTACCTGGGTTTGCTACCAGGAATACAGCCCTTCTGACAATCTGGGTAATGCAGAAGGCTGCAGTGTTGGGTAGTCTTCACATTCTCCGAAAAGTTCTGGGTGGGTTTGACTAGGCAGCGCTTCCTGGGAGAAGTCTGATTCGCTGTCTGGGCTGCGTGTAGAGGGGGCAAGGGCCCTGAGCTGATGATGAGACTTACCAGCCTGACTGTGCCAGGATCACCCAAAACCCTCTTTGCTGCATTTTTAATTTGAATTTGTAAATAATAATAATAATAATAATAATAATAACCACTAGAAGGTTAACAACCACATTGCCATCTCTCAGGTAAGGTGGATGAGTTCGGGGTTGTGGATAGTGAGTAGGTAAGGTGGGTGAGTTTGGGGAGGTGGACAGTGAGTAGGTAAGGTGGGTGAGTTTGGGGTGGTGGACAGGAGTAGGTAAGGTGGGTGAGTTTGGGGTGGTGGATAGTGAGTAGGTAAGGTGGGTGAGTTTTGGGTGGTGGATGGTGAGTTTGGGGTGGTGGACGGTGAGTAGGTAAGGTGGGTGAGTTTGGGGTGGTGGACGGTGAGTAGGTAAGGTGGATGAGTTCGGGGTTGTGGATAGTGAGTAGGTAAGGTGGGTGAGTTTGGGGTGGTGGACAGTGAGTAGGTAAGGTGGGTGAGTTTTGGGTGGTGGACGGTGAGTAGGTAAGGTGGATGAGTTTGGGGTGGTGGATAGTGAGTAAGTAAGGTGGGTGAGTTTGGGGTGGTGGACAGTGAGTAGGTAAGGTGGGTGAGTTTGGGGAGGTGGACAGTGAGTAGGCAAGGTGGGTGAGTTTGGGGTGGTGGATAGGAGTAAGTAAAGTGGGTGAGTTTGGGGTGGTGGATAGTGAGTAGGTAAGGTGGGTGAGTTTGGGGTGGTGGATAGTGAGTAGGTTAGGTGGGTGAGTTTGGGTAGGTGGATAGTGAGTAGGTAAGGTGGGTGAGTATGGGGTGGTGGATAGTGAGTAGGTAAGGTAGGTGAGTTTGGGATGGTGGATAGCGAGCAGGTAAGGTGGGTGAGTTTTGGGTGATGGATAGTGAGTAGGTAAGGTGGGTGAGTTTTGGGTGGTGGATAGTGAGTAGGTAAGGTGGGTGAGTTTGGGGTGGTGGATAGTGAGTAGGCAAGGTGGGTGAGTTTGGGGGTGGTGGTTGGGGTAATAAGTATGTTTACTTTTTGTCTTGTTGTCGTGAAGTGACTATTTTTATATTTCAACCTCCAAAAAGAACATGTGTTGTGGAATATTCTGAGAAGGAAATTTCAAGGGAAAATCAAAGTTTGTTATGAACTTGAAATGGGCCTTCAACATTGCAATACAGTGATGTATTTATCCCCTTCATGGTAATCCTACTTTAAAGACTGACATTCATAAATTCTGCATTATTGTCGCTAAAGCCTTGTCCAACTGTTGCAATTGTTATGGTTGTTTAATATCTCTCAACACTATGGAACAAAACAGCAATCCTGAAGCAAACAGCCCATGAATGTCAACAAGATGGCTATACAAAATACGCCTATTTTGGCAGGCTACTTGGGAACAACCAGTTGGTCTCATTCATTGAAGGGCTCTACGTTTATTGCCACTTTCTCAGCTACTAGACATCAGGACCCATGTCAAATATTATGTATCCAAACTATTAAATGAGCTCTTAAGAAATGAACATTTGAGCCAACACAGTTAAGTGGACGCCATTGTCGGTAGTGAAATCTCATCAATCTGATTCCGCAATCAACAAACAGCCTCATTGTTAAGTGTCACAGGTGATGGGAATAACAACACCTCATATCCAATATGAATACCCACTGATTTAAATCTCAACACATTAGATATGTATGGACTATAATATTTCCATGGTCCGTTTAACTGCATCTCACCCAGCACAATTATAGAGGCCATGTAGAGGTTCTGACAATCATTTATTGTTGTATGTATCGTCCCAAATTTGCAAGAATTATCTTTGAAAGAAGACAGTACAAACTACATTATCAATGTATGACTAGACGTCAAACTTAAATATGTGGATGCCTTGTAAGAACTCAGTGATAATCTGTGCACGATTCTTAATTCTTTAACCTATTTTGTTTTAACAATAATAGCATTTCCTATATTGTTGACAAGGTAATTCTTATAAAGTTGCTTGATACACAAAAAAGGATGTGATGATTTTGTTTGTTTGTTCATTTAGAATTGAAACAACGATTGTGAACATTATCTCAGTGAGTGTTTGGCCCTTCAGTTTAAGCAGGACAAGGACTATTTTCTCTCAGTTTACATCTACTGTCCAAACCTTCCTGAGCTAATGAGGTCTCAAGTACAGACTCAACCCCAACTGAGCCTCAAGGCTACTGCGAGGGTACGGTTATGTTGAAAGCCAACATTGTGCTGTCAGACAATCCCCATAACAAGGATGCAGGGCTTTGGCTGTAACTGTAGCCTGAGCTGTGTCTAGTTGAGGTTGTTCACACTTGCTGGTTCTCAAACAAACAGCTATGTAGCTATTGTATGGTGCAACACTAAAAGATATATACAGTTTGTTTGAAGCCTACATTCTCATCTGTGCTCTGTACTGTAGAACCCTAGTCCCTGTTCCCTTTACCCATATCACACTTCATCTGACATCAAGCAGTGTGTGGATAGTCGATTGTAAGGTGAATCTAACAAGACCGCATCCACAGTTTCCATCATTGATCATGTGCTTTGCAGACCTGTTGACTTGTTCTACAACCTCTAACTTCCCTCCCCACAACCCCCCAATACAACCTCTTCAATCCTCTGACCCACAGAGCAGACACCCAAAGTGAGACTTTCCATCATCAAAATGAGTGACATATGCCGATTTGTGTTTTTGTTTGCAAACAATGAGATCAAACCAGCTGAGCTGGGCCAAACTAACTAGCAGGCGTGTGTCCGAATCACTCTCTGTCACACGCTAAATAGAGCCCGTCCCGTGCGACGGCGGGCTGCGAAGGGCTGTGAGGGGAATGAATCAGGCAGCAGTTTCTGAGCCCTGCCAGCTGAGGGGTTCCCAGGCTCCACACCAGGGGCCACCCTCACGCACACACCCAAACTATGGCCTACTGACGTTAAACATCTCTTATGATGGCTCCACAAAACAGGTGATTGCTAGCAAGGAAAATTAGAGAAAAGTAACTTTTGCCAGGCCAATAAATCTGTGGTGTATTGTTGAGAATATGCAGACAAAGCTGGGACTGGGACAACAGCTAAAGCTGGGACAACAATAAAACACACTGAGGAAAGGAATAGCGTAATGTATCATGCACAGTAATAACTCTGTCAATAATAAGCCTGTTGGGTGCGGTATGAATGTTAATGTGACTTATAGTGCTGAAAACATGACAATAAGCATGGGCTTACTACCTCTGACTCTGACCTCCATATTTAAATAAATGCTTTCAGGGGAAGGGGCCAGTGTTGGGTTGGGGTGTGGAGGGGTATGTTGGGGTGTGAGGGGTATGTTAGGGTATGGGGGGGGGGGGGGGGGGGGGGGGGGGGAATGTTTGAACTTATTGTACTGACTAAAGTAATACAATGTGAATCAATGATAATCAACAACATTTGTTTTTTAAGGATCGTTTTTCCATCTTCACAGTTATTGCAAACTTCATATTACACCTGTGTGTTTTCTGTCAACATAACTTCATAAGGTTCAGTTCAAAAATGTGGGAATAAGAATTTTACATATAATCATGTACATAATGTAGTTACAAGAAGCAAATAGACAGGATATATTTATTTTGCAAGTAATTATCTTATATGCTGTTGATAAGAAAAATATATGGTGATTGATAACATCATTTCTACACTCATACACCAATACCCACTGATAAACAGAGCACCACTGTTTGTTGTTTGTATTTCAATCTGAATGTGAATATGAATAAAAGA